AACTTCCGAAAGTTACCCCCCTTTAGTTGTTTACAAGGAGAGAAAAATTTTAATCAATGAACTACTCAAAACCTTGATTTTCAATAAAACCAGGTTAGGTATAAATGTCAAATTTCATTGGCTTATTCTTTTAACCATTTAACACAATAACATAATCATCTTTTTGATATACATATCATCAAAACAATTTTTAAAGACCTTAAACTGAAAAACTATGAATTTTCTAAGCCTTGAAAATTGCGTATTTTTCAAATTCAAATTTTTTTTGTGAAAAAACCTGTCGTTTAATTTTGGTAAAAAAAAACTTTCTTTCGGTAGCTGTATTAAATATAATCTTCATAATTTTTTGTATAATTTTTGTACGACCAGTTTTGATTTTCCCCTTTTGCTTTCTCAATAAATCACGTTCCCGCGCGTCTTTCAGACGGGGTCGATCACTTTGTTATATGAATCTACAAATGCACATTAAAAAAATTAAATTGGAATATTGCTTTTGCTTCAAAAATATATTAACTTACAAATTTAAAAGTTCTTATATGTAAAGCGTACTTAAATGTAGATTTTTAGGCAGTTTTTTTAATACTCCTATCACCCCCACCCCTTCCGTTTTTGCGTTGCAGACCATTAGCGTTTGACGAAACGTCGTTTACATGCAGTGCAAATATACTGGTATTTCGTAAAGAATCCCGGAGGTATGCATTAGTGTTTCAATTCATGAATGCAGAATAAATATTGACTTCTCTTTTTATATGTATCAGGAAAAAATTACTGAAAGATTTTAGTGTTTAGTCCATATACTGTACGTATGCGTTATGCATTCCATTTCACATGAAACCTGGATACGAATTCAAGTTTTGTTGTACTTATGTTGATTTTTAATTTTATTTCTTAAATTTTATTCATTAAAAAATGGTATATGTTCAACTCTCCTGTGATATAAATGGAAAAATTGTAGTTTCTTTCATGTCATTATTTCAAACGAGACAGTATGGGCCGTGGGGATACATCGACATTTGCATTAGATGTACATACACCCTCATGATACTAGTATTGTACGCATTTCTTTCAATGTCGTCGCTTTTAAAGTTAGAATGAAAATTCCGTATTCGTCCACATTAACTTCAAAATATCAAACATTAAACTCTTCATCTATTTCAATTTATATCAAATCCCACATTTATATATGTTTTAAAATCTTACAGGCTACGTTTTGTTTTGATTCTAGGAAATGCGAACCGACATTGTTGACAGAAAGTCAAAGTTACGATTTGCTGCAATAGGATATTCATAAATGCAGATAATTTCAGTCCTAGTGAACAATTTTTTTTCAATTCTATACTTACACTGTGTATATGAGGTCTATAGTATTCAATATCTCGGATTTGTCAGGTATTGCTGTAAATGTATCTGATTCTGTGGAAAACCGTGAATAAAGGGAGGAAAATAAGCATCTCCTACATTTTTAGAGTTGTTCCTCTTTGATTAGTAAGGGTCTGAGAACAACATCAATTTTACATTGTAAAAAGTTTTTTGTTTATAATATTTATTGTTGTTTTATTTAATCAAAGAAGAAAAACAATATTTATATGGTGTATGCACAAATTGTAATGAAGACCATTTATCGGAATGTTATATAGCCAGTTGTACATAATGAGAATTTCGGCAATGTAAAATAAAATTTTAAGAATAAAAAAAAATGCGTTTTGATCAAAAATACAATTTATTGTATATGAAATGAAATGAAATAAACATTAAGGGATGATATTTTATATCTTGCTTTTTACGGAGTTTAATCGGGTTAATTAAAAAAATACTTATTGATTGAGTATGGTACGCACAATCACAGCCAAGCCCCATATCCCAATTTTCTTTCATGATTGATATACATCGGGATCGTTTTACTCGTCGTTTTGACGCTTTATTTTTGACGTTAAATTTGACTTCACGTCAAACGTTCAATGGAAATCGCAAGAGTTATCTCCCCCAGTGTGTTGTACGTCTTTAAGTTTGAAGACAGCATTTTATAGGTTGAAAATCTGATTGCTTTTAAATTTAAAATACGCAGTGTTGTAGATATCTGAATTTGTTAGATCTGTATGTGGTGAAAGGCTAAGACAAGTATTAAGAAATATTTATAACAGAAATAATTCCCCGAGAGGGTCGCCATTCTGAGGAAAAATAATATCTGAAACTGAGGTGCAGAGAATTTTTTAAATATTCTGTATTTTTGAATGTAGAACATATATCTAAATACTTTAAAATATATATAAAAAATTCCTCTTGGAAAAGTCAGCAATTTTCATATCTTAAAAAATAAAAAGAATAAATCAATCAATGGAGGTTTGATCATCTAGGAGACGTCTATCTTACAGATAAAATTACACAGTCTTATTTGTACAAGACAAATTACACGGCTTTTTCGTTATTCTTTAATATAAGGATGGTGTGGCATACGCCCCCAGTAAATAGCCAAAAAAGACAATTTTTTCAAATGGATAGGGGTACAATGTTTACATCCACTTCTCATTGAATTCTGACCCTCATATGTTATGTTTGTAATATATGTATACTTGTCAAAATTTCTAAGTCCCCACTTTTATTATTTTAAGTATTGAAAACCCTTAACATTAATTAACTAGATATTCACAATTTTAACTTAATTTTTCGATGATTTCCTGTTACGGGTAAAGAAAATTGAAATCGAATGTGTAATTACTCACCCATGACCTTTTTTGTTAAAAAGCATGAAGTGCGAGTTTCATGTGTTTTCGGGTGTATCTTCCATTTATTTAAATTGCCATGTGTTCTCCATCTTCAGTTGTTTAGGAAAAACAGAAAAAAGCTTGTTTAAAATGCCGTGTATGTACGAACGAGAATGTGCAAGTGAAGTTGCCATGGTCCAAGCTGGTGGTAGTAAAGGAAAGTTGTATTTCCTTCCTTTGTATTTGTTTATTTTATGTAAAACCGTTAAAAATACCGTCAGGAAGTTGCACAAAGCTTACTTGTATTCTTTATAACCATTAGAAATTGCTAGATTTTCAAGAAATACTACTTAACGACCCTAGAGTTTAACCGTAAATTCACTCAAACCGGAACCGGAAGTACCCATGGTCAAGGCGTATACACGTACTGCAACGAAACACCAACAGGGCTACTACATAAGAATTACTAACTATTGTGGAAGGAAGCTATCTGCACGTGCAATTGCTCTGCACTCATTAAAAAATAATTCAAGTCTCCTTAATTATCCAAATTATTAGAAACAAACTGAAAGAGTGGGAAATGCGTTCAAGAAGACCTTATGTACTGTAGGATTAATATTGGGTACAAACAATTTCGGTAAGCTTCAATGTCATCCATATCTCAAGCCTATAGAACATGAACGGGACAAGATGGACCAGAAATTGAGCGCTTTTCCAGCAGCAGAATCTGGCGGACATATAAAGGACGACCTAGTATATACATGGAATAACCTTCAATAAAGATTTTTCTTTAATTGTGTGAACTTTTGAGAAGCAATTATCTTGATCTTTATTCGTTTGCAAGGATGATAAAAACAGTATTAAACGTTGCGAATTTTTAATTCTAGGGTGCCTTCACTCTTCTGCATTTTGTGTTAAAGTCCTTCAATATAATTAGATTGAGTGAAAAAAAAAATATTTTGCTTTTTTTATCCTGTATAGTTTTCAAATTATATTGTCTGAATTATTTAATATAAAAGCATTGTAAAACAAAAACTTATGTAGGGATTTAGAAATTTTGATTAGTATATTTGTAAAATCTAGCTGGCCTTTTCCATCATTAGCAGAACAAACTTTTTTCTGACGTAAGAATAACTCCATATGCTAATTGAGGAGACATTACTACAAAAAATCCAGGAACCTTAATGCTTGAAAAGGGGGCTTTTTTACTTGTTTAACGAAACTAAAACAATTTTAAAGGCACTTCAATCACATTTAAATGCAAATATACAATTTTCAAGCCCACAATTACAAACATTTCATTTATTGTATAATTTTTATGGAATGTCAAACGTTGTTATATTCGATCTTATCCATTTGTGAAAATAATTTAAAAAAAAAACAGAAAAAATATAATAAAAATAATCCCTTGGATACCATACAAATGATAAATTATTATTTTAAAGAAAGTTTGCAATACAAATAAGAAATTATAGAATACAAATGGAAGATATGGATACATATGAAAAATTAAACAATTTAAATGAAAAATAATACAAAACAAATGAAAAATGATAGAATACAAACGAAAAATACACACCCTTTATTGTGCCAAAACCTGCCTGTTTATTCATCTTGATTCATAAAAGAACATATGGTTAAAATCCAGGTTGAATTTTGCTATCATAGGGTCTCAAAAATATTGGATATGCAAAAATGCAACAAAAAAGAAACTCTATTTCTAAACAATTACTTAGATAACTTCATTATGATTTTACCTAACATACACGTACACTGATATTTACCGAATAGAGAATCAATTTCTCGTGTTACCAGTGAAAATAATGTAAAAATTTAACAATACATGCAGATGATGTTCTGTTTAAAAACATTGAAAAATATATCATAGCAAGTATCGGAACAGGATAGAATCTATAATTAAATTACTTTGATGAAATTCACAAATGATATTTTTAGCAGATCAGGGGACGTAATTTTGTTTGTGTCATTTGTTCGGATAGCATTTTATAAAGCTACAAGAATTATATCCTTGCAAACAAAAAGTAAGATTAATTAGGGGTTGGTTAACTCTGTGAATGTTTTTTTTTAAATTGTAGCTTTAATTTAATTGAAGTGTGTCCGCGTTCATTTGTTTCTAAGCAATGTGTTTCTATGACTGAATATATATATCCTTAAACAAGCAAATTAATGGGGGTTAATTTATTTTAAAGTTATGTTTTCAGGGTTAGGGTTGTTGTAGAAGAAGATTTCATCTACGCAAAATCATTGGAAAGAACCCTTTAAAGTACTCCAAAATACATCATCACTAAACTCCTGATCATGATCACCATTTGGAAACTCTATGTATGTCTTCTGGTTAATCAGATCCATTAAAGTTAGAGGAATATCCTTCAAAGGCAAAGTTTCATAAAGGATGAGGAAAATCACATTTTCATCATTCCTGCTGTAAATTTCTTCCATTTTGGCGATATGTAACTCGTACATACACCAGCTGGACTTGATGAAATTGGGGGAAATGAGAATAATCGTTTTTCTACTTTTGTTAACGGCGGTTATAATGTTCTCAGCGATGTCGAATCCTGGTACAAAATCGCGCTGATGAATGCATAATTTTATGCCTTCCTCCTCTTCTAATTCTTTTATCATTCTCAGGACAAAGGATCTATCCTCGTCAGCATAGGAAACAAATGCGTCATACTGGTTAAGGGGAAGATTTTCATTTCGCAAAGATTTATACTGATGGTAGCGGCTTTTTGTCATATAATAAAAATAGCGAAGTTTCCACCTATATCTGTAGGCCAGTCCAGTACAAAGTATGAAGAGGAAGCAAACCAGTGTCCCCGTGGTTACAAAAATAATTGCGGTATACGAACGGCATTCTCTTTGTAAATTTAAAATATGTGATTTAATTTTATCAAATTTCAAGACTTTTCCGTCGTGTTCTGCATCTTCAGTGCAATTGTAATTGTCGAAATGCAAGAAATATATTTTCCTGGTTTTATTTTTTTCTTCCATCCATTTCATGAAGTTGATTGTTCTACATGTACAAACAAATGAATTTTTCAGAAAATTCATGGTTAAAGTTTTTGTCGACCCTAGTCTGTAAAAGGCTTTCATATCTCCATCAGAAAGAGACGTTATTTCATTGTTCGACAGATCTATGGAATCAACAATTTTCATGTAAATGGTGTTAATCTCCCATGCTTTAAGAAAATTTTTGCTTAAATCTAAGCACTTCAAATTCACTAGCTTTTGAAACACAGTCTTTCGCAGTGTCGAAATTCGGTTTTCTTTCAAATCCAAAATTTCAAGTTTCCTCAGATTTCTAAATATCAAACCTTTCATGTCCGATGCTAAGCTGAATCCAAGGATATTATTTCCAAGATATAATTCTGTCAAACTCCCTGCATATTGGAAAAAATTTTCTGAGACATGAGAACAGAAATTATTTGAAAGATTGAGAACTTTTATGGAATTCAGATTATGAACTGGACCATCCCATGAATAAAAAGCATTGTCTTGGAGATAAAAATGGGTTATATTGTTGTTAGAGAAATGTAATTCAAATATTTTGAATCGTAAATTACTACTATTAGCGTAAATCACTTGTAGTGCTTTCGGTACAGGGAAAATGAACCTTTCATTAAGAAACACGATGTGAAAAACAGACTGATCCTCCATGTAATTTTTACATTGGTCCTCAACTTTACGTGACATGACATCACTTGATGAATTTAAAACCTCGCTACTTCTTCTACCTTTGAATTTTGTATTCATGTTAATAGTATGATCTTTTGAATTAACATGGACACTACCTAAGGCTTTTTCGAAATTTGGGTCATATTTGGAGGCACAATATGGCACTGAGTCATTCAAACTCTCGTTACAGGTATTTATTTCATTAACAGGATGGCCCAAATGCTGAGCACTTATATTGATTTTCTGCATATGTTCCAGATATGAAACATCACAAACGTATTTTCCAAAAGTGAATTTGTTGTCGGATACGGATATAAACTTGATGGTCTTTGGTAAATAGCGGATTGCGGTGTCCTCGATCATTTCTATCCTGTTACTGTCTAAATGCAATTCTATTAATTCTGTGTATAGAAGAAACTTGAAATCTTTTACAAGAATTTTGGTCCCCATTCCAAATGTACAGTGAATTTTGTTCAGACGAAGGATTCTGATTGAAGTGTTTTGTAGATCAAAAGAAAGACTTCTAAGAACTTTAAATGTCAATTTTGTGTTGTATGATAAATCAATTATTTGAATGTTCTTTAAATCTTTAAATATCCCTTGCGTATGACTTTGGTTCTGCATTCGTAATTTATTATTTTGTAATAAAAGTTTAGTTAAGTTCCTCATTCCCTGAAAAGAATTCCCTGAGATAGTAAATATAAAATTATATGAAAGATCTAAATGAACCAGTCCATCTGGAATGCTTTCTCTTAAAGGCAAACATGTTAGTTTATTGTGACTGAGGTTGATGATTTTGACGTTTGGTGAAAACACTGGTGATTCGGTTAGATTTAGGTGAGAGCAGTCTGCGTACAGTCTATCGTTGTCCATCAGACACTGACAAGAAGGCTCTGAGGAACATTGCAACTCAGTCATTCCCGTGGCCAGAAAGAATGTCACCACTAGTGTTCGGAGATAGAGCCTCGTCATCATAGTAACCTTTGATGGAAATAAAAGGAGTTACGATCATTATGATAAGTTTTTATATATTATATTTAGTGAAAATGTTTACCACTGTAAAATAAATGACGTATGTGTGCATGAGAGCAATTTCTTTCAACATATATTTAGGATGATCGATACACAAAAAAATAATCTATTTGGCGCGGTTAAGTTATTTTAGTATCATCGATGATGTTTTGTGTGCGCTAATTTAATAATAAGTTAATACCACTGCAGTACATGATAAATTCAAATACAAGTAGAAGCTTACTTCAACATTTCTGTTACCTCATAATTCAAAATAACAAAATATCTGTTTAGATGTTTGAAAAACGAATTAATATACATTTTCTCAAATACATAAATTTTTCGTTGCATTTGATTAACCACCTCTGATTGTCATGTATATTTGAAGTTTAATAAAGTACGATACTAGTATATCATAATTTTAAACGTTTGTTTTATAGAAAATTACATGTTGTGGTTTAAAGGGCAACTATACAGATCTTAATGGTACATGTAGAATAAAGCAGTAATATAATTCCTATTTATAAATTAGATAATCAAGCAGCAAAAAAAAAAATGAATTGTTGTATACTTTGGCTCTACCATACAAGTGTAGAGCATTTTTTATTAATAATTATTTGTATTAATTATACATGTGCATAAAGGTGTACATGTAAACATATTAGGTCTTTGAAAAACAGAAGGATTGTTTTAAATAAATAAAGGGAACTGTAAAATATGACTGTAGTGGAAATATTTTCCTTGTAAATATGTATATTATGTATTACATGCAATATATAAAACAATTAAATTGTGATTAAAAAGTAAATGAATTCAAGTGTATTCAATTACATGTATATTTAAAAAAGAACAATACCAATTACCTCCTATTAGTTTGAAAAAAAAAGTTATTTGTTTCTTTTACTGCTTTAACTGTGGGTTTTTTTTTTTTTTTTTGTTTCTTCAATTAACCTTTCACTGCAATTTAATGTATTGTTTTCAAAAAAGTCAAATTCATCAGACTGGTATGAAATGCACTTGTATGAAACTCTCCAAATGGTAATCTTTAAACATATTTCTGTTTTTCAATGTATATATGGCATTTAAGAATTGAGGAAATCCAGTTTCGCATTTTTTCTACTTCGTCCTCTGGTACAGTGTATTTGGACGTCGTGAACGTCTTGAATGAAAATCTAAAGCTAACTACAAAAATTACCATTTAAAAATTCATATTGCAAACGATTACGATGGCCAATGTATTTTATATTTTATTTCAACCTCGTTTCCTTTATATTATATTGTATAAAATAAGTTGTCTACGTCAAAATGAGTAACGTCAAAAACGTATTACTCTGCTTGACGTTAGTTTTAAAGTATGCTCAATTTGAATTTTTTTTTTTGGGGGGGGGGGTGGGGGGGTGTATTGTTGTCTACAATAAAATTAAATTATAAGGAATGAAGCTTATCTTAACTTATATTACACGATATTACTTGACTTGGTTCATATACACTTTATTATAAACTGGTTGGCGATTTATAAAGCGTAAATTGCCCCAAGTTACATGTGTATGTTAAATCGTATAACATACTAACAGTAGGTTACGATAAGATTCATTCCTTAAATAATGCAAAAAATAATGCAACATGAAATAATGCTACTGCGCATACGATAAAATTAATTGATCAATAATATCCATAGCTCTGTAAGATAGAATTACACCAAGATAGCTGTTTATGCTAGTATGAAAACGAAACATCACATTATTATTATTGTTACCTCTGAAAATCTATGCATGATCTTATCGCCATATGTAAGCTTAGGGCATTTAAAAATTGTTAAATTTACAAACTTTATGCAGTTCAAATTCTAATGTATTTGCGGGGTCCTTATTCCATTTTTCTATTTCCACTTTGGTCTGTTTTACAAATATATACAAAATAGTTACATAAATATTTTAAATTTTGCACGTTTTGCATAGTGTTTCATTTTTTTCTCTCAGTTTTTCAGTTTCACCTAAACATGTATGTATCGTTTTTTTTATTATTGACATATCAAAGAAAAATGTACTTTACTTTTGTTAAATTTCCACTTTTTGATTTTTTTTTCAACCAGTGACTACATGTATTATTTGTAACTTCATTGCCCCCTTTTAAATCACAGAGGAAAAATTCCGGAAAATAAACTACATTATTTGATACACTGATTTAATTATAAAACTTACCTTAATATCTGAATTCCAGGGTGTACTGCCCCGTACTGGTTCCCTATTTGTGTCAGAATTTTAACTTCCGTCTTATGTATTTTGCATAAATAAAATCTATGTGAATTTTTATAAGGTCAGCTTTTGGCAAAATATGCAAGCAATGTATAAATACAATGTTTTCGGGTGTTTTATACGTGCTGGCACGTACGTGCTCATAAATATATAAAAGTTACAGCGCAGTAGGTTTAACCGAACTAAAGAATTAGTATTTAGAGTGAAAATGTTATCCACAGTCTGTTCATTAAAATGAAGAAAGAAATATATCCATTGTTAAAATCAATACGACGTTGATTAAAAACTCGATCTTCAATCTGATCAATGCGATTGAAATGACTGATAATTTAACGCATGGGGTTGTTTTGCCAATGGAGGTAAAGATTGTTCAAGTGTTTAACAACAGAAGGATAATGCATACACGCGCAAAGCGCAACTAGAGAACCCCCACCACTGTAATTTGCAGATTTATTGAATAACTGCCTTTACTTAACCAAGTAAACGTGACAATAGACACCCCCCTCACCCACCGCTTCTCGAAAGCTCGGACTTGTGTTAAGTTCCTGTGAAAAGTCATGGTATGATGGTATGAAGCTTTAAAAGTCAACGAATACTCCCACTCCAAGAAATACGTTTGGAAGTTTTTCTTTCTTTTTCTTTCTTTTTTTTTCAAGAAGTTTCTGAGTTGAATTTTTTAACTGGAGGTGGAATCCCCCTTCCCTGAAAAAAAACAGCGTTGTAAGACCATTATTTGCACCTTGAATTTTTAACAGATTTCCCCGTTATTTCCGTCATTACAAGAAACACAGGGCATGTGTGACTGGTCGAAAGGGGACGTTCACTCCTCATGACACATGATCCCATCTCTGATGACAAAGGTCAGTGTTTGCTCTGTTCATATTTTATGTTGTTTAATAGACTTTGAGCTTGAATAATGTTCGTTACCTGCATAATTATATTTCATGGTAAAAAATAAAATGCAAGTGCACATTTTAATTATCTTCGGTAGTACTAATGGTCGAGTATTTACAAATTCAGAGCAATAAATATATTTATAAGTATATGAAACACGTCAGTCAGCATCTTACTTGATGATAAATTGTGTAAACTGTCCAGCTCACTCCTCTTTGGCACCTGATCCCATCTCTGATGTTTCGGAGATCCGTGTTTGCTCTGCTCTTATTTTGTATATTGTTGAATGGACTTTGAGATTGAATACTGTTCGTAATCTCCATATTCTTCATCATCCTAAATATATAGGGAACCCCTATCCTTTAACTGCCGTCGTAAATATTTGAATTCTGTAGTAGATTACGCCAGATGATGGATCAGATATGAAAAAGAATACCTCGACACTTTGTCAGAATGGATGAAATATATAAGATTTATGCAAAAATCGCGTAATAAGCGATTTAAGGACAATATTACACTTTGTCAGAATGGATTCAATGTTTCCGATGTATGTTAAAATTGTGCATTAAGCTATTTGGGGAGTGAATACATTTAAAACCATCTATCCTTAATTCTATATATTAGATGATTAAGAAGTGAAGAAAAGATTTAAAAGGAATGCATGCTCAGTGTACGTACTGGTCCCTGCTAACAAAACAGCTAACATTGTCTTTGTCTATCAGGCTCATTATATGCATTTTAAATAGAGAACTTGTATTTTTAAAACTCTACAAATGGTAATCCTACCTATACTCATATAACTTCCTTTCTAAAGGGGGGGGGGGGGATTCTTCAAAATCATACAACAGTACGACATTTAACTCTGGGCACGACATTGTCCAGATCTAGACGTTTTACTACCATTTCTAGTTGAGTTATAAAAATATTTTTATATCACTTGGTGGGATTTTTAGCAGTATCCCAGGGTCTCATGTTGAACTTACAAACATCTCCATTTCTAAAGATATGAAGTCCTAAGATTAAGAATCCCATAGGAGAAAGGTGGGATTTTCAGTCCCACCAATTATCCCACCATTCCCCCATGGGAGAAAATGATTCATTGTCAATATTCGTGGGATTTATCCCATTTGAACAAATTCATGGGAGAAAAAATCCCATGGGAGAAAATATCCTATCTGATATTCATGATATCCCTTCCCATGGAAGAATGGTGGGATAGTTGGTGGGACTGAAATTCCCACCATTCTCCCATGGGATTCTGAGTTTAAGGACGTTCGATCCTGATATTTTGAGCTTATTTTGGACAGGTCCTTTATTTATAAAATTCTAAATCATTTTTAAGTTCTAACATTAAATCTGGGTTCTACAGTGCATATTAAACTATATTCAATGAAAAAACTGCGATTAAATACGATTCAATTAGAATTAAGCTAGGAACTATATTTTGTGGCGGAAGGTTTTTTAGACGAAAATGATCAGTGTTTCCATTTTGAATTATAATAGTACTGTTAATTTTAGATTCCTATTTTTCCATCCTGGTTGCACACAAAGCTGTTTTTTGCAGTGAAATGTGTTATGTTTGTTCTGAAATATCTATTAAATTATTTCTTATAAATTCTATCAACAAAGTGTGACAAATATAGTAAATATATTCTGAAATTCCGTGAAAAATTTGAGCCAGTTTTAACGTAAAATTGACACTTTTATAGTAATATGTAAAAATTTACATCATATACCCCCACTTTTGATGTTCTTTTATAAATATTCAAGATAAATTTGACCTATTTGCTTAAAATTTGAAAAAGTTTAAGA